GCATTAATGCCTTTTTAAACATTAATCTGTGGACTGTATTTTAAGTTAATATGTAAGTACTAAGTATTATATGTTTTGTATGTTTTATTTTCGAAATTATAGATTGAATAATAAAATAGTGTACACTGCATGACATTGACATTTTATTTATAGTCGTTTTATGTATTATGCACCTAGATCAATATGACGTCGAAAAAACGAGCACATGCAATGGTCAATTTGGTTAAAAATCCTTGTCAACATGCACAATATAATAAACTGTTTGAAGATAATTCCTCTGTGAAAAGTGATGAGTTTATGGCATCTTTTATTAAAGATAATGACATCAAAAATACTACAGCTAAAGGTAAAAATATTATTTTATTATCCACCTTTATAAAGTTTATACATTTTAGCATATTATATAGTTTAATTGAAGACAGAATAATAATAATTTCTTTTTTTAGTTTCCTGTTTTAATATAGCCATTGAAGGAGTTGAAAAGTTTGACATTTTACAAAATGATACAGCTAAAAGTAAAAATATTATTGTATTACATACTCTGATATTATTTATAAATTTTAGCATTATATAGAAATTAATTGAGAGCATTATATTTTTATTTTTAGTTTCTTGTTTGGATATATATATTGATGTTATTGAAATGTTTAAAATTGTACAAACTGGTACAACTTGCAATAATGATGGTGATTGTACACAATTAATATTTTACAAACTTCAACAGCTGAGCTAACTGAAGGTAATGTCTAACAAACAAAATTAAATTAACCATGACTATTGTATATTGTGTAGATAATGATTTGTTTTGATTGTTAGTTTCTTACACAGATTTGAATGTAGATGATATTGAAGTAAATAGTGATATTACAAATGACCCAAGTAATAAGAAAAATTTAAAGAAACGTCCTACTGCAATGGAGAATAGAATGTTTGGCCAAAATTATATTGGGTTTCGTAGATTGGGAAAAAATGTATTTCAAGATACTAATAGAGATTGTAGAAAAATCAAGCCTCGCTGTAATTCTACTGTTTGTATTAAATCAAAGGAATGCAATAAACTAACTGAGGAAGACAGATTGAATTTGTTTAATTGCTTTTGGGCAACAACTTGGGAAGAAAAAAAGACTTACATTATAAATTTAGTAACAAAAGAAGATACCAAGAGAAAGACTACAGGAAAATATGAAGTAAAAAGTAGACGATCATCATCATACCAGTATCATTTAAGAGATATTAATGAAAAGAAAATTTGTGTTTGTAAAAAAATGTTATTGGCAACATTAGATTTAAACGAATGGATGGTTCACAACTGGGTAAAAAAATCTAATAACCTATTACCTAAAGTATATAAAAAAAATGTCAAAAATAAAGATCCTGAAACTAATGAACAAATGAACAAAATCGCATTTACAGTAAGGTATGATCATTTTATTAAGTGGTTTGATAAACTTCCAAAAATGGAAAGCCACTATTTCAGAAAAAGAACTAATCGGCTTTACTTAGAAGGACCATTTGAATCAAAGCAACAATTATACAGCTTGTATGTCCAAGAAGCAAAACATGTAAAATATACACCAGCAAGTAGAGCATGCTTTAACAAATTTTTATAAACAAAAAAATTTTCCATCTTTAAACCCAGGAAAGATCAATGTGATCTGTGCTGTTCATATAAAACAAATCAAGTAACAGAAAATGAGTATCAGGAACACATATTAAATAAAGATCTAGCCAGAGAACAGTTAACACGTTGACCGCCATGAGATCTAATAGGAGATCTCACTAAACTTTGTCCAAACCGCCAAGGGTTTTTTCATAGGTTTACTTAAAAATTTTTTGGAAAAAATATTTTCTAATTTCTTTAAAAATTTGTAACAGCTATATTATTATTTTTCATTCAATTTCCCAAGAGGATATTATAACATTACAGATATTAACAATAAAATTAAACAACCGATTTTAGACTTCAATAATGAGTATCAAATTGATTTAACATTTGATGTAAGTCTTGATCCTATCGATTTTAGATCGGTTATAAAATGTAACGGAACACTAAACTTTACGGATCCAAACAGTATAGGCTCTGTATTAGGGTTTAGAAACCGAAAATATTATGGATCTTATTATAATATTTATCATTCGGAAAAAGCTGTGAATTTAAACACAATTAACTGTATAAAAGTAATGTGTAATATTGCCCAAGGATCATTCAGTAATCACGTTCAAACTCATTCAATTTACGAGTTCTTTCCGAGAGGAGAAATAGAAACAAAGGTAATTGAATCACCACCAAACCTTATATATTATAAGTTGAACAAAACAAATATTGATTCAATAACTATTCAATTAGTTGATCAGGATAATATACCAATTTATGATTTCTGTGAAACATTGACTATAATTCTCCATATTAAACGTCGTGGATCTTGATATTCATTTTTTTAGATGAATGAATCGATTACTCTAAGCTTAACTGGGAATGATACTACATTGACTACAACTTTTTTTCCACCTCTAAACGTGTATGAGGACTCTGAAATAGCTTTATTATGTTTACAAACGTTTAATTTATTTCCAAATATTAATTCGGAAAATAATAAATTTACAATTCAAGTATTAGATAAGAATCGAAATGGATTGGAAATATGTTTTATTACGCTAAAAAAAGGTTGTTATAATATTAAAGATATTAACCAGCAAGTTGTAGAGCAAGTAATAGACTTTAATAAAGAAAATGGAACATCTATATCTTTCGAAATTTCAATTGATCCTAACGATTTTAGATCTCTCATAAAATGTAATGGGTTAATTAAGTTTAATAAGGTTTATGGAATAGCACCTTTATTAGGGTTTGAAAAACGGGACTATTATCCAGATTTTCAAATTCTGAGCAAAAGTGCTGTGAACATACATTATGGTTTTTGAAAATCACTGTTTTTTAAAATTACACAGAGACGAAAATGAGCTCAAGGGTGATATTCCCCCTTAAACTTTTAAAATCTCCCTGCCCAAAAGTGCTGTGAACATACAAATACATACTACTATTGTCTATAGTATAGACTCTATACTCTATACACACATTAACAATAGATAGGTCAAAAAAGTGTAGGGCAACTTTTAGGGTCCATTTTTTTGTTTTTATCCACGTGCGGTAAGCCTCGAGTTGTTGGTCGCACACGTCTACGCCACCCATATTTTGGATATAAGTAGGGCTAGGATTTTAATGACCTAAAAAAACCTAAAAAAAATTACCGAATAAAAACTAAAAAAATGACTCAATAAAAAAAAATGACCTCATAAAATGATCGAAAAAATATAATTATATTAATAAATTAATAAATAATAATTAATATTTAAAGTAGGGCTAGGGACTTATTGAATTTGTATATTTTTATTGAATAGTCCAAAAAATTGCTAAGTAAGACAGAAATTTGTTTGAATTTAAAAACACCAAAAAAAAAAAATGCATATTTTTGCATATATTGCAATTTTTATGAAAACATGCATTTTTTTATGATGAATACATTTTTTATGCATATAACATCCTTATTAAGTACGACGTAGATTATTTCCCACAATATTATGGATAATATGGACGTTTTTGTTTTTCATTTAAGAAAAATAAAATAAAATAAGAATTTTATAAATAGAATGTTTCCATGCATTATCGAAATAAATTATTATCGACTAACACCAAATGAAGATAAGATATTTCTATCTGCTAGCCATACCGTCCGCACTCAGCACGTCAGTCTCGCCTTTCGTGTATTGCGGTATCGTGTGCTTAATTGTTAACCAATATTATATTTTTATTTTTGTATCAAATTTCATTAAATTTTTAATTTAATTTCGTTTTCGTTACAAAAATGCCTAAGCAAATTACATGTGCTTTAGTTAAAAAGTATATTACAGAATTTGGGTCAGATGTTTTTTCAGCAGACCAAAATGTGTTGTTTTGTAATTTTTGTGAAACAAAAGTGAGCGTGGATAAAAGGTTTATTGTCACCCAACATCTTAAGACGGAAAAACATAAACCGGCAGCTAAGCGCATTGAAAATCGCCCAGGTACAAGTAAAATACTTACACAACAATTTATAACGGACACAACAAAAAAGTCTATATTTAGTCACGATCTTTGTGAAGCTTTGATGTCAGCCAATATACCTTTAAATAAATTATCAAATCCATATTTTAAAGAATTTCTATCGAAGTACACTGGTAAAGATATTCCTTCTGAGTCAACGTTACGAAAAGGTTATGTTGATGAAATTTACGAAAACAAAATTCAAAAAATTAGGGATCATGTTCAAAATAAATGTATTTGGGTATCAATAGATAAAACTACCGATATTACAGGTAGATATGTAGCTAATGTTGTTATTGGCATTTTAAATGAAACTGGGAGTAGTATGATTTTTCTTTTACATTCCGAGGAGTTGGAAAAATGTAATCATTCCACAATTTGTCAATTATTTGATAGATCAATGAACTTAATTTGGCCTAACGGTATTCAGCACGATAAAGTTTTATTGTTTCTTAGCGACGCTGCCCCTTATATGGTAAAAGCTGGGGAAGGAATTAAATTATTTTATTCAAAAATTATACACGTTACGTGTTGGGCCCATGCATTTCATAGGATCGCAGAAACTGTACGAGCAGGATATCCAAAAGTTGACAAACTTATCGCAAACGTAAAAAAAGTTTTCCGTAAAGCACCTTCTCGCATTCAATATTTTAAATCAATAGCCCCATCATTATCGCTACCACCTGAACCAATTTTGACAAGATGGGGTACTTGGATTAAAGCAGCTAATTATTACTGTGAACATTTTGAGCAAATAAAATTAATCATCAATTATTTTGATGACAATGATGCAGTTTCAATAAAAAATTCAAAAAAGTATCTCTCGGATCAAAATATTGAAGCACAACTAGTATTTATAAAATCAAATTTTGGATTTTTACCAGATTTAATAACAAGACTTGAAAAACAAGAAATTCCACTGATAGATTCAATTTCTATTGTCGAAGAAGCCAAAGAAAAATTAATTAAAATTAATGGAGTAATGGGAAATATAATAAAAATTAAGATTGAGTCTGTTTTATCAAAAAATAAAGGCTTTCAAGCAGTTTTCAAAATATCAGAAATATTAAATGGAAAAAAAAAAGACACATATGATTTACCCGAAGATTTGAATTTAAATGATCTCACATATTTTAAAAACTGTCCAATAACATCAGTTGACGTAGAACGTTCGTTTTCAATGTACAAAAATTTACTTACTTCCAATCGACGTTCATTCAAGTTCGAAAATATCAAAAAATCTTTAATTATTCAATGCAATTTCCAAGGTAAAATAACTTATAAAATAATCAGTAAAAATAGTAAGTATAAAGGAAAATTTTTTTTATTTTACAGAGCCGTTAAAAGAAAACCTTGAAGAAAACTTTTAGACCACTTTTAATAGTATAACTACAATCTTTACTAAGATTTTCAAAATTGTTATAAAAGAATAAATTATTTTTACACATTTAAAATAAAAAAATTAATTGCATATTTGAGTGCATATAACATTTTTTTGCATATTTTTGTGCATTTTTTATGATAATTTAATGCATTTTTGCATGCATATTTTCATAGTTTTCCTTGCAATAGGTTCCGAGCCCTATTTATAAGTGTACAAATAAATTCATCTTCTGGTATAATAGCCAGCGTCATTTGTTCTGAAATTAATATATTTTGAGATACCTAAAATAATAATATTTTGAAACTAAAATTATTATAGATACTTAATATTTATATACTGAAAAAAAAATTTTAATTATTTACTGTTGCACTGAACAATTAGTGACTCCTTCAAGTTTTCGAATGTGTTAGATCGCCGGTGGTCAGCTAACAATGTTTTATAAGATGAAAAACTCTTTTCGACATCTACAGAAGTAATGGGAGCAAACTTCATGTAAGTGATATCGTCCATATTGAATTCGAAATTTTTAAAAATATAACCCAGATTTTAATTAAGTATAAAAAAATGACTTAAAAATGCTAAAAAATAATCCTAAATACAAAACAGTACATAAAATGCAAAAATATGCAAAATAAAAACTAAATATTTAAACTCGTAGATGACCAAATCAAAAATTTTGTGCTTGAAAAGCTATATCCTGTAAATCATAAAAAAAAAATGCAAAATCCTATACTATCCTAGCCCCTAGTTATAAGTAGAGACCGGATTTATATGCATTTTAAATTTTAAAATATGCAAAATAATTTTTGATTATACACCTATTCATTGTAAAGTTATAAAACCAAAATATAAATTATGAAAATATAAATAAACTACAATATTATTATATTATATAATGATCATAAAAATGAATTAGAATGAAAATTTTTTTAATTTATTCGATATTAGAAAAACAATAAGTAACAATAATATATTCCATATTGACCTCGGTTAAATTATGACGGCGATTTGTGAGAATATGTTTATATGCAGAAAAACTTCGTTCCACATCAACGCTTGTTATGGGCGCATATTTAAAACTCAACAACATTTCCGGAGAAAAGTGTTTGATAGAGGAAGTCTTCAAGTCAACAGTCTCACCTTGGTGTATTTTAGCAATTTCTTTTAAAATTAGCAAGACTTTATTTTTATTAATAATTTCGGAACATTTTTTTTTTATTAATACGCTATTTTCATTTTCAGAAAGATTAATAATAGAATTCGTAACTTATTCAAAAATGTATAAAGCATCTACTAGTAACAAATCTGAAGTTTCAAGCTTTTTAATGCTTTCAACAATAATCGAAAAAATTGTTTTAATATAAGTTAAATCGTTAATTATATTTGATTTCGTTAGAATTTGTTTACAGTTTTGAATGCTTTTGACACCATCTTCTTGTAGGTTTTGAATAACATTTTTAAAAGATTCGAAATTATCTGCATAAAATGAAGGGTACAGGGAAAAAACCAGAAAAGTCACTTTTTTTCTAAAATTGTTATTTTGGTATCAAATTATTTGTATTGACGTATTCTATCATTCAAGAAGTCGAATCTGGGAAAAAAGCAGATTAGTCGTGAGTTATGACCAACGAAAGTTTTGGCATACAGGAAAAGAACAAGGCAAGTCATTTTATACCGGGAAAGAACCAGACAAGTGTTTCATTTAGATAATTGGATTTTATTTTTATTTTAGTTGGTAAAACCCAATTAGGTACTGGTCAATCCGATTAAACTATAGATTAATGTTGTGTACAGATAAATATAATATAACCAATTGCTGCTTGACAATATTATATCATTACTATTACGATCACCATACCAAATAGTTTTAGTCACGTTCGTGTTTTCACATCGTAAGGTAGTGAAAAATATTAATCCGTTGAGTAAATTGTGTTGTTTTATTATTTTTTTATTAGTTAGTTAGTGTTTTTCTATTAATTATGTCAATATCTTCAGACGAGGTCGAGAATGATTCTAATGTGTTACCCAGGAAAAAAAAATAACCGGACGATTATCTGATGTAGGTAAAAAATTAATTTAAGTTCACATGAAGCGGGAAAAGACTGTAAGTGTTTTCATTTTAAGTGTTTTGAAATCATTAATGAAACTGATAGAGCTAAGTTACTACGACATTTTAATGAACTCAAATCACATGACGAACAAAATAATTATTTGGCGGGTTTAATAACAATACTACCTGTACAAAATAGAAGACCAAGACTTGACGAAGGTGCCGCTAAACGTGATTCTTCTTTTGCGTACAGAGTTCGTATTCATGATGATGTAGTAAATAAACCTGATGTACCAGTTTGTGCAAAGGCATTCTGTGCATTACACGGTATCACTAAAAATAAATTGACATACTTACAAAAAGGTATGAAAATGACTGGTCAGGCAACACGAGATATGAGAGGCAAACACTCTACACTTCACAGAAAACTTAAAGAACATACAAAACGCTTGATATGCGATCATATTAAAAGATTTAAAGGGCGACAAAGCCACTATAGTTTGAAAGATTCAAAAAAAAATGTACTTACCAGAATATTTGAATGTTAATAAAATATTTACTATGTTTAAACAACTACATCCTACAGTTGTTGTTTCTTATGAAACCTACATGTGCATTTTAAATTCGGAATTTAATATATCGTTTGGATATCCACGTACGGACACATGTACAACTTGCGACGAGTTTCTGGCCCAACTTAAAACATTATCTCCGGTCACAGATGATAAAGAAATTCAAAATCTAACAACGAAAAATATGTTACACAAAAGAAAAGCTGAAACATTCTACGTACGCAAGAAAATAGCAAGACAAGAAGCCAAGAAAACAAAAAAGATGGCAGCAGTTTGCATGGATTTTGGTAAAAATGTTTCACTTCCTAATATAACCACCAACGATGTTTATTACAAACGTCAGTTATCAATGTATTCATTTAATATTCATATTCTCTCGTCGCAACAGTCTATTTTCTATGTATACAATGAAAGTATAGCTAAAAAAGGCGCAAATGAGGTCGCTTCTTTTATATTTCATTTTATTATGAATTATCTTGATGATGACGTGGAGGAACTTCAAATTTTTTGTGATTCTGCTGGAGGGCAAAATAGAAGTTATACTATTTTTCGTTTTATACACTATATTGTCAATAACCAAATTCACGGTCTAAAAAATATCAAAATTACATTTCCAGTTCGAGGACATTCATATTTAGAGTGTGACAAAAATGTCGGCTTGTGGAAATTAAAAGAAAAAATGGAAACTCCAAAAGATTTTAAGAGCATGATCAAAAATTCAAGAATCAAACCATCACCTTTCGTTGTAGTCAGTGTTAGTAAATAAATAGTATTTAATTGGACACATCTGTTAAGCACTATTTATAATGTTCGGAAATGCCCATTTAAAACCCAGCCTATTAAAGAAATCATTGCCTCATCCACTGAACCTAGACAACTCAAATGGCGGGACACATACAATGGGCCCATGTTCTCTAACGTAATAAAAAAGCCTGAAAAAGGCCTGTCAAAAGCATCAACATTAAAAAAAGGAGAATTTGAGCTTCCTACTCGATGTTACTCAGGTATTTTTTAATGCAAATACTATCACAGTATTATAGTATACAATATTTATTTTCATATTTATTTTGACTTTGCAGGTCCTCTTCGTATTTCACAAGCCAAGCATCAAGATATCATGAGCTTAATGAAATTTTGTCGCCCTGAAGCTGTGGAGTTTTTTAAGAAGTTAAAATATCAGTAACAACTTGTGTTGTAAGTTTTATAATCATTCATTTTTTGAAAATCAATATATTTTCGAAAAGCCTACATACCTTGTTTTTTCCCTGTTTCAGATGACTTACTTGATTCTTTTCCGGACAATATATGACTAAGGATGATTTTTCTATTATATTTTTAATTTAACACTGTACTTATTTATTTCAAATATGATTAATTCTGTTTACTATAGTCTATTCCAAATAAGAAACACCCACGGCGGCCGACTTCTGCGCATAGACGTGGCTTAAATTGAGCAGAAAGCTCTAACTCTGCCGTCGCCGTGTAGACGGCGAGAGCGACGTAATTAGTCTATCGTAGACCAGTGACCTGAACAAATAACTTAAAATGCATTGTAATAGAACAAGAGGTGTGGAGCGGTACGGTGTGTATGAGCGTCGTCGCGTTATGTGTGATGGTATGCCACATGCCATACACACTCATTCCCGCCGCCGCCGATAGAGCTACACACGAACATGTGGTTGATTAGGTGGGGAGCCTGTCCGCCGCCTGACGGAAACTCGTCGCCGCCGTGGGTGTTTCTTATTTGGAATAGAGTATACATATTTTCAATGTTCATTATGTCATTTAACCCGAACATTTTATTTTGAAAAAAAAATTATTAAGTTTTAAAATTAAAAACACGTTTTTCTCGAAATAAAAAAAAAAGTGAATTTTCTGATTTTTTCCCTGTACCCTTCAAATATTGCCGATTGTAACCAAGCTCCCCATCGTGTTATTATAGGTTGAGGTGGTAATGGTGTATTAGGTAACATTTCATGATATAATTGAATTCTATAAGGAGCTTTCAAAAATATCTTCTTTCCATTGTTAATTAAATCGTTTATTTCAAGAAAAATATCCAACATTTTTTTTGCGATCCGATGAATCCCATGAACAGCACAAGTCACGTGAATAAGATTGGAATAAAATGGTTTTAAATTGTTAGCTGCCTTAACCATATATGGGACTGCATCGGATAACATTAATAAAATTTTTTCGTCGTTACCTCCATCTGGCCATAATACTCTAAGACAATCATTTACAAATTTTACTATGGTATTATTATTTGTTTTTTCAAGAACTTTAGATGCTAAGAGATACGATTTTGATGGTGAATTAACATTTAATTTTCCAGCAATAAAGTTCGCAATATATTTGCCTCGT